AAAAGAGCCTAAGGACATGATTGACCTGTGCATTAAAATATTTGATTTCCCAGACAAGAGTAACTTTGTTGAAAATATTTTACGAATTAGAATGATACTTGGGTATTCATGGAACGCTAGGAAATCCTCTCTACCGGATTGTTGCTCTCAGTATATATATATATATATATATAAATATATCTCTATCTCATCGATATCTCAGTATACCTCTTTGTAACCGCTTCTTGAAAACTTAAATCTTGCACAAGCAACTGCTGCTTGCCTTTTATGTTGACAGTAAGCAGAACAAAAAAAATCTGGCCAGCAGGGAGCTGCACTAGGGTTGGTCTTGAGGCCACCAGCTGTTCTAATGAGATGAGGCCACCCGTCCCAGTATCTGGCTGAAGAAGGAAGTGCCACATCTCAACTGTTGCCTGACCCCAAGTGAAAAAAACTCAATCAATGTTCAAAGCTTCAGTAAAAATCAGTACATCCGTATTCTTGCCACTTTTTAGGATTTTTTTATGTGAACCAAGGCACCCCGTATTATATTTATTTGATTTTGATTCTTAGAGGGAAACAACGTGAAAAAAAAAAAAAGTTCTTCACAGTATTTCAGTGCATTTGTGAAAGTTTAGAATCTTATTTCTACTGGTCATTGAAAATACGAATTATATTACATGTGAAGTAGTTACCTCCTTTGGGCTTATTCTATAGAACAGCAGTAGGGGCTGAAGGGGAGAAATACTAAGAATATGATGGCCCCAAATGGAGTTTTCTGTCTCTTCCCTCTCACATTCCTGTTAATCCGTGGCAGCAAACGGCCTTTGCTAGATTCCCTGTCATCCTCCTTGATATTTTTAAATGATGTTGAAGCTCCATAGTGCTATTTACTCCCAGTCTATTTTACAAGAACAAAGACCAAACCAGATGGCCATCACCTGCTGTTCCTCACTGACAGGCACAACTTAAAATTTTTCGATGTAATATACTGGCCATATGTTTTCATGTATTGTCCATACAAACAATTATCTTTTGTGCACAGAGAGATGCCTGATTTATTTTAAACTGTGGAAGTAAATGCTGTGGTCTGCTTCCTTGTTTTTTTGTTGTTATTTTTTTTTTTTTTTTTTGCAGATGTTATGTATAATGGAGAAATGAATGAAAAAATAAAGTTACTATATAAGCTGCATATCCCGCCGGGTAAGAAATCTGAAAGGCTATAAATACTTCAGTTTCCCCCCAAATCTCTTGCTTTTGGGGAGCTTTTGGGAAGAGGCTGCTTAGTGAAGAACCCTATCTTGCTTCCTTCAGCCGAGAGCATATGGGATGTGCATCTGTAATTATGCTCACCGTTTTTTAAAAATTACCCCAGTCAAAATCATTTTGAATGGAATTTATAGATAGACAATGTCAAGGCTCACATCTGCTGCATTCAGAGATCTTTCACAGCCAATTACCTGGTTTCCTCTAGACAAGGTATGAACTGAAATAACATTTTTGGGGGGGCTTGTACTCCGTGCGCAGTAGAAATCTCCTTACCACATCTTGATCCAGTTTTGATTAGGTGACAAAATTCTGTGGTAGTTTCTCTGTGCAAAACTTTTAATCAGATGCACCATTCTTGGCAAACTTCCGACTCTCTCACTGCAGCACTAGTCTTTCTTACATTAACATAATTTTACAGTAAGATTTAACAAAGTACTGTTTGAAAACATCTTTGCCCAATTATTTTGCTTTCTTCAAATATGTAAATTTTAAAAGCATAAATAGCCATTATGCAGCGTTCGAAGGATTAATCATTAGTCACTTTTTTTATGGATAGCTCTCACAGAAAATGAACGAGACAGCCAGTCACCATTAAAGAATCCTTTACTGTCAACTTCAAGACCACTAGTCATTGGAAAAGCAAATGGTATGTCCAGTATGGTTCTCTAATGCGTGTGCATGAGATAACCAACTTCCCATTTGTTAACCCTACTCTGTTATCTCTGTTCTCTGGGGTTTATTTTGAAATATCAGTTTACTCCAGTGACTTGAAAACTAATTCTCCTCTTTGTGTCTGCTCCAAAAAAAGGTGATGCAGTAGATTACCAAAAGCAGTTGAAGCAGATGCTGAAGGATCTGGCCAGAGAAAAGGATGCTAAAACCGAAAAAGAATTGCCAAAAATGAGCCAGGTATGTGTATTAGAGGCTGTAGTCTTGTTTTTAAAGAAGTGGAGAGTATTCAAAAATGAAATGACTGAATACGACAGGTTAGCTCCTTCTGAGAGTGTGTAACTTCAGCCTGAATTTAAGATTCGGTCCTTCAGGTATTGAGGACTGGGCTCCTCTGATCCAAGGAGCGGGTGTTTACCTTTCTAGCAGCTCCCTCTCCTCAGACCGGCTGGTGAATAGAAACTATTTCAGTCTCACCCTAACCTGCGATATAACAGGCTGGAAAACAGGCTCATGCAGTCTGGGAAAAGCCCTTCTTCTAAGCCCAAAGAATTCCTGAGAACATAGATTGCTGTCCTCTCTTCCCTGACCTTCTCTCCACCAAAGCAGTAACCTCTTTCTTATTCTGTCACCAACTGGGACTTGCCCCGTCTTAACCAAACGCTGAGTAGAACTGCACAAAGAGAGCCGAAGGCTCTCAGCCTCTTCCCATCTCCTCCCTAATGCCAGTACAGGATTGTGTATGTTGTTGCCATAAGGATATTACTGGAAGAGATAGGGTCCTGTATTAGTAAAACAATGTACGGACATGCAAAGAAAGATAAAGACTACACACCCAGAATCTCTTCTGTGCTGGTGTTGCTAAAGGAGGTTTCAGATAGGTGGCACGTACCCACCTTGTCAGCTCAACAGGGCCATATGATCTCCTATAAAGGCATCACTTGACTGAACTCCCTCCCACCCTGAATTAGCCACCCTGCGACTGTATGAAACTCAACATGGAAACATCCTCTCTAGCCTGATAATCATCTGTGATGGGTGAGCAAGGGAAGGAAGGAGAGAAGGGGGTTGGGCAGGGTAGATGCCTGAATTTCATTAGTAGAAGAGCTGCAGAAAGACGGGAGAGAAACAGCAGAAAGGAAGTTGCTTGTAGGCCTGTGGATGGTTACTTTGGTTGGAACTCATTCTGCGTAACAGCCGTGAGTGACGGGTTGCATCCCTTGCCTTGTATCTCACTTGCCCTTCGGTCACCTGGGAGGTCCTGATCTCCTTCATCAAGGCAGCAAAACACTTCTCTGATGTGTTCCCTTTCTGATGTGCAGCATCAAGGTTTCCTAGCATCAGTGGGGGCTGAAATCCCTTCAGTAGCATTTTTTTAAAATCAGGCAGAAGTTATAAATGACCATATAAACGCAGGCAGGAAGGTGCCCTCGCCTGACTCCTATGGGTACATAGCGTGTGGCTGTTCAGCAGTTTGGTTTTGGTTTTTCATCCTTTACAGAGGGAGTTCATTCAGTTCTGCAAAACCTTGTATAGCATGTTTCATGAAGATCCAGAGGAGAATGATTTGTATCAAGCCATTGCCACTGTGACCACACTGTTACTTCAGATCGGAGAAGTCGGACAAAGAAGCATCAGCCTGGGGAGCGGATCAGATGAGTCCACCGAGGACCTACAGCCCAAGGCCTCCGCTTCAGACCAGGATGCTGTTTTTACTGACACTGTGAAGACCCCTCACAAAGACTCTCAACCTTCCCCTGTGGCTGAAGGGGACTGGACTGTCTCTTTTGAACATATTTTAGCATCCCTCTTGACTGAACAGTCATTAGTTAACTTCTTCGAAAAACCCTTAGAACTGAAGCCAAAACTTGAGAATGCAAAGCTAAATCAATATAGTCTCAAAACAAATGGAACGAGCTGCCAGCCACGGGGTGAACATACAAAACTAAACACGCAGTAGTAGCAAACCTGTCAGAAAATGAAATGCACTGAAATGATGCCAAAGCACATATTGCAAACAGCTTTCAATGAGCAGTGGACTTTTGATAAACAATTTGTTGGTCTGTGGTTTTCAGTTTAAGAGCTTTAAAAGCTAAAGGGTGTGTAGGTTTGTTTTGTGCCATCGATCTATTAATTATGTTCTTGTTTTGAATGTAAAAGGAAACATCTGTCTACAGTGTGAAGACACTGAAGCCTTCTTCCGCACTGGGAGAGCAGAGGCTGGCTCCAGTTGTCCTTTTTTTTTTTTTTAAACAGGGGAAAACACTTCTCAGCTACTGTCCGCAGTTTGTTTGGGTTGCCTTTTTTGCACTAATACCGAAAACTGTTTCAATGCTGGTAATTGAAACTATTTTAATATATTTGATTGTATTCCAATTTGTATGTCTTGCTGAAATGTTAAGTGTACATGGACTGTGCTTCTGATGTTGGTCTGTGAAAACATGCACTTTTCAATAAACCCTTTTTGTACCAGTCTCGCATTGACAGTGTTTATTGATTTGTGGAAGGTAAGTGTCTTCAGGCCCTACCTCATTAAAAAAATTCCCTGAGCGAGCACACTCACAATTAATTCACTGGTTGGAACCCTGTGCACAGACCTGCTTGGGAGAAGCCTCCTGATTCTGCCCAGGAGATCAGCAGGGACCCAAATACAGGGAGTTTATCCACAAGAACTTACATACATGAAGTATTGATCTAACAGTTTCGGGGGTTGTTTTTTGTTGTTTGGTGGTTTGTTTTGTTTTATAAATCAACTCGGCCTTAACTTAAAATACGTGTGTTGTGGCACTCTATTCCTGTAGGAACAAAACAAAACCACTAGGACTCTGCCACCCATATGGGAACATTTGCATCTCCTCCTTAGTCCATTCATGTGTAACAGAAGTCTACACTGTCTTTAATTAAGAAAATTACATCATTATGTACAAGGCCAAAGAAAGCCAGATGCTTTAAGATGTTGTCACCTGTTCAACTCAATGCTTGATAGATGAGAGCTTGAAGAGACTGGACAATAAAAAAAAAAAAAAAAAAAAAAAACACAACAAAACAAACCAAAAATCAAAACCAGTAACTTAGGAATAAACTTTCTTTTTATCCTTTTATTGTAATGAAAATCAGTTTAATTTTCATCCACATTGACTGTCTGTAGACCTGCAAAACAAGAAATTGTATCACCACCTATTACTAGGACAATTCCCTTCATGTATATGCAAGTCTTCACAAGAAAGTGCACCTACAGCTTCAAAGCTAGTTTGCTGATCTACTTCTGCAGGAGCAAACTGTACAGGCAAGTATTTCGCCAAATGTTAAAACAAAAACTTCACGTTAAATCAATTCTGCAAATAAGATCCTTCTCAGATACAAGCAGAAAAGGCTCAACTTGCTTGAGCTTTTGACATCAGAGGATGTACCGTATGTGGGAAACAAACCTTAAAACTACCCTAACAACTACCTAACAACTACGGCCAGTGTCTTTTACTCTCTCAAAATGTACATTATTTCACTAAATTATGTATTTGCTTCTTAACGCTGACCAGGCAAGCTAGCAGCCCTGTTCTCTACAGCACAGCTAGTCTAAGCCAGCAGTCTGACCCCTTCAGCACGCTTTTCCGCCTGAATTTTGCACTGCAGGAGGAGCTGTTCCACTTTGCTACTCGTTCAGAAAAATACAGCACGGAGGAAGAGAGATGGTATGCAACCTTACCTTTGAATGTTGTGACTGGTACGTAGGTAACCAGTGTGTAGAGCTTGTTTGGTGAATCTTCATCCTCATTGCGCTTTCTGGACAAGCGCACACGGATACGGTAAGGGACATTCCTAAAACAAAGATGAGATTAATTTTCAGTAAAACATGTATTGAAACCTGCTAGTTCATAGCAAAGAAAATAAAAGCTCTTTGCTCCACAATTACTACCCCCTCCTCAAATTCTTAAGTTTTGCCTATTTATGCAAAGACATGATGAGTCAATTCTGTTTCTATCTCAGCATCACAACAAGAGCAAAATCCCCTATCTTACAGCGTGCGCTGTTTGCCTTAGAGGAGCTTTTCAGTTTTGTTCAAGTAAGCAGGTGAGATTTAACTGAGCCTTGAGTAAGATGAATCCATAATCCAGCAGGAGCATAAAGTCAGAAGTGCATCATCAGCCCACTACTGACCCAGGAAATAAACTCTGAAGATGATCCTGAAGCACAGCATGAATGTCATCAGCAAGCAGCTGTTACTAACAAGCATTTCTGACTAGAATAAAAAACAGTGAGAAAAAAAATACCCCAACAACCTGCTCTGAAAGCCTGAGGCCCCTGTCGAGAGCCACAGTACTGCCCAATCTGTGCCCAAACGTGCCAGAAGTCACGTGGAAATTAAAGTGAGCATTACACCTGAACCAAGATGTTACTCATGGGCATACAGCTGATCAACATTTCTTCTTCACAAAGCCCATGGAATCCCAACTAAATCACTTTGATGACTTTGTCTGTAATAAGCAAGTCACAGCTTAGCATCCTCCCCTAAAACTGCCCAAAAAATGCTGCTGAGGGAAGGCACAATTATTTGTCCACACTATTTTTTTCAAGTAACCTCCCACCTTGAATGAACCCAGGACTTTTGGGAAATGCCTGTTCAGAGTGCTTTGCTCCACAGAGCATGTGAAGGAACTTCCTCCCTGCTGTACGTTCTCAAGCACGTGCTTACTAAATCAGATGGATGCAGTAATTCAGACACAGGAACTTGCTTCTATTTATTCCCTTCTTGAAATAAGTAAAAGAGCATTTTCCACTACTTCAGTTAGATCACTGACTATCATACTAGCTGACCTGGTGACTTTAGCCTCTCCTGATCCTTCTAGAGGAAGGTATTTTACTTTGCATATATTATCTATTCTAATTAGTGAAAACTGCAGTTAAACTCACACTGGAAAGACAGATGTGGCGACTCCTTGCTCCACAGACCACACTTCTACCAGTTAATATAAAGAAGTCTTAGTTAGCAGCCTCACTACTAAGCTCTGAAGTTCTGCTGTCACCTGGCTCAACTGCTGCTTCTTCACTGCACATGAACTGGACCAGCTCAACAGGAAGGGCAGGGAACCCCTGCCCAGAAAGACCCAGTAACTTAGTCCTATCTGCCCCTCTGTTTTTGAAGGAAGGGTTGGCCTACTGTCATGGTTTGGGCTGAAATAGAGTTAATATTCCTTTTTGGGAACCAGAAGAGTGCTGTGTTTTGGGTTTAGCTTTGGGTTTGGTGTGAGAAGAATGCTGATAGCACACTGATGGTTTCAGCTGCTACCGAGACTTCAAGGACTCTCCGACTCCTCATGTCCTGCCCGTGCGCAAGGGCACAGGGAGCAGGGAGGGAGCACGGCCACAGCACCAGACCCAAACTGGCCAGTGAAATATTCCCTAGCATGGAGCGTCATGCTCACTATACAGAGGAGGGGTGGCTGGGAAGGGGCCCTCTCTCTCTTCTGGGATTGCGATTGCGGGATCTTGGCATTTCAGGATTGCTAGCCGGGAACGGGCTGGGTATTGGTCAGCAATTACATTGTGCATTGCCTGTTTATATTTTTTTCTATTATTGTAATTGTTCTCGTTTTATTACTATTATTAAACTGTTTCAATCTCAGCCTGCGAGTCTCACTTTACCCCTTCGATTCCCTCCCCCATTCCCAGGTGGGGAGGGGGAAGGGTGGGTGAGCAGCTGCGGTAGTTGGCTGCTGACCAGGCTCAAACCACAACAGCCTTTTTGGTCCCCAACGTGGGGCAGAGGGTTGCAATTTGGTAAGGATATTAATTGGGAGAGGTAATGAGCAAAATACAGACTGAACTAGGTTAGTGGAATGATCTTTACAATGTCTGTAATTGTGGGGAAGTTTTTTTTTTTTTTCTGGTGTGGTAAAGGGACTATGGGTGGATTTTCTGTAGTGTATCTCACTATTTTGCCAATGTTATTTTTTATCTGGGTGTGGGGAATGTTTTTCCCCCTCTATTTCAGTTCGGTGTTGTTTTCTCTGTTCTGATGTTGATGTGTATACTATCTTCTGTACTGAATGTTGGATCTCTTAATTCTCAAATACGTGATTTGCAGAGGCGAGGTGTGGAATGTCCTGGGTTTGAGTGAGTGGTGGGGTTTTTTTGGTGGCAGGGGAGGGGCTGTAGGGGCGGCCCCTGTGAGAAGCTTCTCGAAGCTCCCCCAGCTCCAAGTCAGCTCCACCTCTGCACCAAAACTGAGCCCATCAGCTGCGCCTCTGCGATAACGTATTTAAGAAGGGACGTGGTGAGGAGCAGTGGGACTGGTGAGGAGGAGTTGGGGCAGCTGCGTGAACACCAAGGTCAGTGGGGGAACGGAGGAAGAAAGGAGGGGGGAGGTGTGCCGGAGCAGAGACCCCCCTGTATCCTGTGGGGAGACGGCAGGGCAGCCCCCCCTGCCACCCATGGAGATCTACGGTGGAGCAGACATTGATTTGTGGCCTGTGTTTTGCCTGGATGACCAAGGTGCTGTGCCCAAAGAAGGCTGGGGTCTTGTGGGAAAAGGCAGCCCCGCTGCTGTAATTCAGCGCTGGGAGGATTGCAGCATGCGGGGGAGTCCCACGCTGGAGCAGCTCGGGAAGGGCTGCAGCCGTGGGAGGGAATCCAGTTGGAGAAAGTTGGTGACCCATGACAGAGCAGTGTGGGGAACACTGCGGCCTGTGGGAGGGACTCATGTCAGAGAAAGTTTGTGGAGGACTGTCTCCTGTGAGAGGGAGCTCCCCCCACTGAAGATGGCAGAAGCAGCAGCACTGACTGCACCCCCCATTCCCTGCCCCTGCGCCACTGGGGGAGGAGGTAGAGATATCGGGAGCAGAGCTGAGCCCGGGAAGAAGGGAGGGGTGTGGGGAAGGTGTTCTCAAGATGTGGCAATGCTTCTCACTGTCCTACTCTGTTACGTGTTGTTAGTGTCTGTAATAAATATATGTTTGGGTTTTTTTCTTCCCCTAACAAGCCTGCCTTTTGCTCGTGCCCATAACGGGGGATTTTTTCCCCATCCCGGTCCTATCTCGAACCCCGAGCCTGGCTCATCTGTCCCTTATTGCCGGAAGAGAAGGGAGAGAGTGTGGCTGTGTGGTGGTTGGCTGCCCACCAGGCTCAAACCACGACACCCAAGCACACCATTCCAGGTAAAGGGTTGTAAATATTTTGTAGGATAGACTTAGGAATCCAATTCTTAGAAGACATGGTTTAAAAAAAGGGTTCATGTGCATCCAGTGTATCACTGAGTATTAGTCCCGACCAGTTAGCCTTTTGTTATGGTTTAAGAGGTCTCACTCCTCACAGGAGTCCTTTTGGACCATCTTCACGCTGGCCAAATGCCAAATCAGCTGCCTCTGTAAAAGTGATTTAACACTTTTTTAGCCCCAAACCACTTATTGTACACACCTCATTATTTTCTAATGCAGCATTTATCAATTTAGCACACCTCAAAACCTAATCCTGTTCAGATACATTACAAAAATCCCAGGTGCCTAGCCTGGGGCTGGAGGTATCATAAAAAAGCCGTTTCTAAAAACTGTCTGCTACAACAGGCATTGGGGTACTACACTATTACAATACCCCAATCCTTTCTCTCCACCCCCAAACCTGCACTCCTCCTTTCATTTGCTTTATTCTTATTAGAGGCAGAGGGAAGTTCTTTCAATTCCAGAGTTTACCAGAGCTCTGCTACAAATACACTGAGGGGCTGACCAGAACACAGAGGTGACAGAAAGATTAGCTTGGCACACACACTGTAAGAAAGGAAGCATTTGCAAAGAAAACGCAAATACTGCAAGAAGCATACAAATTCTTCTACCCTCCAAGTCCTGTACCTCCACATACACAGCTAGTTCTCCCTCACCCAGTAAGGAAAGTTGCAGAAACCTACCTTATTCCTTTAGCCCAGACTGCTTTGTTCAATCTGGTGTCAATGCGAACATCAGGAGTACCCATCTCCTTCATCGCAAATTTACGGATTTCCTTGAGAGCACGCGGTGCTCGTTTCTTGAAACCCCTAGGACAAACACAAGAGCCATTTCTTTAACTTGAGGAAACTGTCACCATTGGACACTTGTTGCAGCATTCAACCACTGACGTTCTCCAAACCCACAAGCCAAAGAATTGTGTTCAGCAGTTCAATAGCTGCATCACAGCATGATTAGACCTTTACTCTGGTTGGTGGCAGCTAATCTGAATGTCTATGCCTCATAGAACCCACATATACTTACACAGAATAATTTCAGTAAAATTTTGCAACTGCAAGATCTCCTGGATCTTAAGTTTTTTTCAAACATGTTGACATTAAAACTTATCGCAATATTACCCAAGAGATCAGAGCTTTCACCAATACTCTGAATAAAAGGCCTATGAGAAAAGCAGTGCCACAATAGTAATACAAACTTGACAGAGCTCCATCAGTACTGAAATAAATGGCAAAAGAACAAAACTGATGCTATTCCAAGGAACAGCTTCTGCTAAGCAGTATTTGATGGCTACTTTCTTCACATTAGCAGGACTACACCAATACCACCATCAGAACTGTTTTTTTACAAGCACAGCTTGTCTCATGCCTATTATGGACAGATTCTGCATAACTGGGCATTTACACTGAAAGTTACAGCTGCACAATGAACGCTTTTCCATATAGATGATACCTACACTGTGACATGTGACTCGTGTCAGTAGTGTCTGAGGTCCCCCAGTGGATTATATTTGGTAGTATTTGAACACTGCTGTTGATGTTTAGTGTTAGAAATTGGGACTGGGTGAGTGATTACAAGTGAGACAAGCATTAAACAAAAGGTGTTTCACCCCTAGTACTTCATGCCCCAAACGGAAAGAGGATAACCACCAAAGAAAAGTGGATAACAGGACCATCAGCATTAAAAGTAGACTGAATTGCCATAAACAATCAACAGGCAAGCCCAGAACATCTTCTCACCATTTAAAGGTAGCACTGCCTCCCATCCTCACACACCGTTTTGCAATAGTCCACTGTCTCACTCTCTCCTGCTCTAAGTCAACTTCAGCAATTTCACCAACTGTTTTGATTCAGATATAGTTTTCCTCCACACGTCTGTAGCCACACACATACAAAGAGGATCAAAAGGGAGATGCAGTTTCTCAGCAAGTGCTCTCAAGCACTTTACTACTAAAGAACTGCATGAGGTTCAACAGCTTGTCAGGTAAAGTTACTCTCATCTACACACAACAAGTATCATTTAACTCAAATCATACCTCAATTTACCTCTCACACAACTCGGCGGTAAGCACAGTACCACTCATTTCCATATTTAATTTCTAAAACTCGCTACAGTGGGCTAAACGTTAAACTTTGCTTGGGAAAGAATGACAACCTGTGCACACAGGTAAACAGATCTAACTTCGAATTAAGTCAAGGAACACTCACAAAAAAATACACACACTTGTTCCTGAAAGCCATGTGTAAAGTGTAGGTCTGCACAGGTACAGAGCTGCTTCCTCAGGACGCAACTGTAGCGCGGGGGTCTGCAACATCACACGGTAGCGTCGGTGCTGGTAAGGACCGTCACTCTCTGATGTTTAAAACCTACCGAGCCCACTTCCAAACGCCTTGTTACATAAGGCCGGTTTCAGTGATAACAACAACTTACACGCCATGGATCCGCTTGTGAATGTTGATGGTATATTCCCTAGTGACCACCTCGTTGATGGCGGAGCGTCCCTTCTTCTTCTCGACACCCTTCTTCGCAGGAGCCATCTGAGCAGTGCTGAAAAGCATCCGCACACGGATCAAATTGGGGCTCTTCCCCCTCCACAGGCCCCAGCTCCGTACCCGCCACGCAATCCCCACACCCAGAAGCTTTAAAGCTCCATCCAACCTCGGGGTCGCACCAGCTGCGGATTTTACACAGCAACTTCTCAGCACCGCAAGTACTTGACTCTCATCTCCCTGACAGGAGCGTGAAACACACCGGAGCCTCTCCGACCACTTCCCATGAAGATGGGGCCGCCGGCGAGCCCCCCGCGCCCCGCAGCCCACCCTGTCCTGCTTCTGTACGCCCAAGCGCCTTCCTTCTTCAAGGTAACCCAGGAGAGGAGCTCAGCCCGTCCCGGAAAGGAGGTGACGCTACTAAAGACGCTCCTTCCAGGGACTGACGGCGGCCTACGGCTTCCTCCTCCCTCCCCACGGCCCAGCACGGGCCGTAACCCCGCCGGCAGCGCCCCGCGGGCCTCCCCGGGCCTGCGCCCTGCCCGCCGCCGTGCAGGCCCGCGGGAGGGGGGCGGAAAGATGGACCCCAGCCCCACCGAACGCGGGCCCGCCGAGAGGTACCACCCGGTGCCCCCCGCGCCGGGCCAGGCCGAGGATCTCCCTCATCTCCCCCCACACACACACCGAGGGGGTCTGCGAGACGGATGGCGGCGGATTCCGCCTGCGGCGGCCACTCACCCTGCCGGGAACCGGCCGGAAAGGACCGCGCAGGGGCCGCTGGGAGCGAAGAGTCCTTCCGGGAGGCGGGGGGGAACCGACTGCGCCGGCGCCAAGCGGGGCTGAGGCGGGCGGTGGCGGCACCGCGCATGCGCGGGAGCGGCGGGCAGGGGGAGCGGGGCTGCCGGAGCCCTGAGGCAGCGCTGCCCCCTCAGGGGCTGCCCGCCCGCCCGCCCGCCCGCCCCTTGGGGCCGGTTTTTGGCCGGTGCGTGGGGATGGGGAGGCCGCCCCCTGCAACTCGGCTCGGGGGCGGTTGCCCGGTTCTGACCGGCAGCTCCCGTTCCTGGGTCCGGAGCTCGGTGTGGCGGCGCCGGGCGGCAGCCTGCGGTAGCTGCCCCGCCCAGGGAAGCGGCCCGGGCTGAGTGGTGATGGTGGGACATGCTGGATCTCGACTATAGCGAGGTGGAACAACGGCCCAACTGTGCGAAGAAGACTTGTGTTGCATTGGGTGTGCAACGGGGAACATGTGCAATAATCCCAAACCGGAATGTGTGTACAGAGAAGGAGTGAGAGCATTAAAAAAACAAGTACTGACATAAATCTGATCTTGCAAGTACTCTGTATCCTTCCAAACAATATAATAAGCCAGTTTATTAGAAGGCAACCCCACCCTATTTAGAGCTTCTCCCTGTTAACCACTTGCAGTAGTGCTGGTTTTAGAAAGACAAGTGCTTACTCCGAGGCTGAGCTTGGTTTGGACATACCCGCTAATGATCAGGAAAGGTGTGGGTGTATTAGAACTACCCTTGAGAGGAAAACAAGTTCTTAAATGAATTTTCTCTTCCTGTGACTTACATCATAATAGTTGCAATCCATCAAGTGCTGCTTCCACAGATACTTCCTCTGAGGTGCTTGTGTTCATTACGTTTTTCCTGCATTAATTTTTTGGCCTACAGATTTCTCCTCCCCTTTCCCAGAATAAGCCTTTACAGGAGTAGGTGGAATTTATGAAGTTAGCCTCTAGCCAACTGGCCTTCACTGAGGTTTGTTATCGGGGAGAGGTTCCTTCAGATGTTAAGTGAAAGCGCCTTAGGGTTTAGCTTTTTAATCTTCATCTGGTGGGGTCACTCTTGCCTCACTGAATGCAAGAGTTTAAAGAGATGAACAGGTACCTAAAGTTAGCAGTAAAAACGCTTTCTTAGAGACCAGATCTGATCTCTAAACACTTCGTAGAGATCAGATACTTGATTCCCTCATCTTCCTTCAATGAAATAAAGCAAAGGGAGTGTACGGACTGAAATAACACGTGCACCAATCGGTGCTACCAGCCAGTCTTGCTGTGGAAGCAGCAGGGTCATTTTGCCAGTGGGTTTTCTTCAGAAGATTTTTAGCTTTTTCAGAACTTAGGGCAAACGAACCTTTTTCACTTCTCAGAAAGTTTACTTTTACCATTTCCAGCTCCCAGCCCAATTATCTCTCGTTCCTCTATGGCACAGAAGCCAGAGCTGAACACGCGGGCCCTGGTGATGTGATCCTCGGTGCTGAAGGGCAGGAAAGCAGCATGGCCTGCACTTCCCTGAAGCTGACGCTGCCTCGGGTGGCTGTAAGCTGCCCTGAGCACCGTCCCCTTTCAGTCTTACTGTGGTGAACGGAAACATTACTATGCTGTTATCCACCTTACACTCTGGTGGAGGTTGCTGCTCCAGCAGCGGGGTCAGCAGAGGGAAAACAGACCTGTACCTTGGCTGCTCCACCCTGAAGTCAACTTGGATTTAATGTGAAAAAGGGTCTGCCCAAGGATGCCAAGTGGAAACTAGCCCATCAACAGTGTGGGCATGGTAGCAGTTCCAGCAGAAATGCATCACAAAACTCAGGACAGGGGTGTCTTAAAACACTGAAGCTGGACATGGCTCAACGCCCTGGTATGTGCTGGGTCAAACTGTTCTTTAAACTATTTTTTCTGTCCTAATCTAAAACTGTTCATTTGGAAGTACAGAGCTGCCCGAAGTCTTCAAAGTTTAAAAGGAGCTTGAAAGGAGCTGTCTTGGCTAGCAGCAACATAACTTCCTGAGCTATCCTTCTCGTCTGTGCCATGACAGAGATCCCATAGGGTAATACTTGGTTTTGCTAACTGGGTGCCAAACACTGTGCAAGGCTATGGCCAGTATTAAACTTCTACAGTGAACCACATAGTTGAACAGCCACAGGCAAATGTGTACAAGTCCTGCAATAAAGCCTTTTGGCTATTTTATTTTATTCTACAAATAAAGACAATTGTCCATCATTAAATGGAAAAAAATAATAGTTTGAGTTGTATATAGCATGAAACATTAGTTCCCTTCACAAAAACATTTCTAATTCATTAGTTTATTACAAAATATCCACTCACAAAAAAGCACAAGCACAATCTTTATACTTGTGAAATGAGTTGATATTTCATATACAAAATAATTTCCACATAATTCCATATAATTTTATTTTATATAGAAATAGGTCATTATTACAACAGCTGTACAATACACTACTTTTTATTTAATAATTACATAAAATCTTTCTTAGAAACATATCAACAGAAAACATACAAAAAAAGCGAAAAGTGCATTTCTTCTTTTTCCCCCCCAAAGGAAAATTCAATCCTAAATGTTATAATGAAAGAGATATGTAATAGTCTGCAGCATCCCGAGTCAGTGGGCCAAAACACAGTGCATATTTCTCAGAGACTTGTGGTGTGTGAGTTTAGGTAGAAGAAGGATCCATGTTGTACTACTGGAGAGTTGCACGATTGTGCTTGCATTCTGAGTTCTCCTTTGCAATCGCAATTCACAAAGAAAACAGTCCAGTGTGGGTTGTGGGGTTTTTTTGTTTGGTTGTTTTTTTTGTAATGGAGAACAGTTAGGGTAAGCTGCATAATACTTTTCAGATTCTAAATCAAGGGTTATGAGCTGTAGACCATCTTCACCAATGACTGGGGTTTCTCTTCCATTGGATGTGCTAATTTGGCCACCAGAATAAGGAAACAAACTTCTCTTTACAGAAAGTGCCTAGGTTTTGTCCTCTGTGCAGTTGTGCAAAATAATAACAATAATCATAATAAAAATAATCTCTTGTTCTCTCCTCAATAGACCTTTGACGCAGTGCTTTTCATACACAAAAGAAGAACCGAAACAGTGAAGGCCAAGTACCTCATGAGTCTGTCGATAGTCTTTTGGAATTGCCAGATAGCTTTCAGAGTGACACGCCAAGATTGAACGCCTCCTCCCGTGCACCCGTTGATGATGGAGGCTGCACAGGATAGCGCCCCTTTTTATTTTGCTCTGTCAGCACACACTGTGCTCACGAGACAGCGCAAACTGAATCCAGCATGCGGCAAGTGCACTGTCTGTGGCAGTCTGCGCTCTGTGGCGTACTTCTGTCATAGAACTTTGAAAGAAATGCTTGTGCAAAAGCCAAAACAGTAAGTACAAAGTCATTCTCTTCTGCCCCATGTGCCCATTGGTTAAAGCTAATCGTGCATTGATTGTGCTGGTGGGACTCTTATCGCAGTGGCTGTGGTAAATTTGATGATTCTGATAAGCTATTGCTTCTTCTTGGTGTTAGTTGCTGCTGCTGCTGCTGCTGTGTCTGATGATACCCCATATTTCCTTGCTGTGGCGAGTAAGATGGCAGGAGCAAAGAATCGGGTTGTTCATTGTGCAAAGAACTTGGTGTTTGCACCTACAGATAAAATAAAATTCATCGTGGTGTTTGGTTCTTTCACATGTTAAAGCTCTTTGTCCTCAATGTAGAGCGCTTAAAAATACTACAGTTTGCTGGCTTTTATTTCTGGGGCTGTTCAGCATGGTGTTAGCTTACCTAATGCTAGAAGGAATGAACATAAATTGCAACAAGAAACATTACAGTTAGGTGTCGAGAAAGGTTCTCTGACTGGAATGCACTGCCTAGGGTTTGCAGGTTATCCTGAAAAGCCTGTTTAGGAACAGGGTGGGCGAACATGGGGGAAATGACACAGATGGATGACAGAAATGAAACAGAAATGAAGCAGGGAATCCTAGTGTACCTCGTGCTGTTCCTTCTAGCGAGTTTACAGTGGGGTGTGACATTGCAGTGGTGAAGTCAATGTGAATTTTGCAGATGCTTTTATTGGGAACAGAATCTGCCATAGTTTTTTCATCAGTTCTCAGCTACGATAAGGATTTCATTTCAATAACAAGAGTTTAATCATTTGAGGTTGATGATACTCTTTCAGTGATACCATTGGATACGTGATCAGGTTTTCTAGACTCAGTTCAGCTCCTTTTGAGTTAATACAGAAACACCTCACTTCCCCCCTTCCCCTTTACTTTAGTATGTGTTGAATTAGGTCAAAAAATAAGTATTTTTACATCTTCAGATCACCTGTTTTTTCCAGGCAATGTGCTCCAGTTTATCTTCTTTGCCTTGTGGAGTTGAGAAAATATGTTAATTTACTGAAGGGATCCAGATATCTGATCCAGATCTCATTTTATGTTGATGCTGGTAATTAAAAATCATCTTTTGACTTGTAAACTAAGCAAATTTTATACTGAATAAAGAGAACAGAATAAATCCTAAGGCAGCAATTTTATCCGTCTAGAAATACACTTTAAATATATCTGATTATGTTTCCAGTGTACAGAATTAGTAATTTCCTTTTACTGTTCTCACTGCTCCCTTGCTATACTGGGAGGATACACAGCACTGTACCAGTGTCTCGCACACTTCAGCATCTCTTAAAAGGCCATTTCTGCCATGATCAAGCTCCTGCTGAAAAGTGGAGCCCCACTGGCACAGCTCGCTCACCTTCTTAGCCTGCATGTACATTTTATATGCCCTCCTCTTTGTCCTACCCTACCTGCAGGTAGCGTTGTTGCTGATGCTGTTGGTGCTGGAGTTGCATAGGTGGCAGAGAGGATGGCTGGGAAGGAGGTGTAGTGGTGAACCCTTGGTTTAACACTGCTTGTCCCATGAGTACAATCGGAGAGCTGCTGCTGGAAGTCTGCACTTCCAAACTTTGAAACATTTGTTGGGTTTGAGAATACCTGTGGAAGAAAGAAGTGTAACGATCAAGAACAAACTGTTGGAGGCAAAGGTCTTCTCTTAGGATAGGG